GGTGTTCACTAATTTTTTTTTGAAGTGAAAACTACATACCTCTTCCATTCATTTCTTCCAAAAGTCCTGAAAATAAAGAAAATAGCATAAATCAAAATCCACCTAAATTCTAACCATGTATTCTGTTCACGTACATTTCAATCAAATTCACATCCAATAAAAAGTCTTACACTGAACATCTTAAAAAAAAAAATGATCACAAGATTTCAAAAAAGAATGTGCCCCTACAAACTTTTGTAATGTCATCATAGCAAGTCGTATTCAGGGATTATTTTTAAACAGTTGAGTTTTTATGGTTTCAGCATGATATGAAGACTTACCTTGAGGGCTTGGCATTATGGGAGTTCCTGGTGGCCCTCCTCCTCCCGGCGGCCCCTGTAAATTATCAAACAAGATGACAAACATTAATGTACAGCAATTAGTAAATGATTACAGTGAAATAATCCTATGCTTTTAATCTTGTTGCTCTCAAAAAAACAAAATTATAAAAGAAATGTCTGCAGAACAAACATAATTTTGCCACAATGTGTGTGATACTTAACCCATTATGTACAGTAATAACAAAGCAATTCTAAGTTCTTACAAAAAATCCCAAGTTTTTGTACAATGCCATGATTAATGACTTAAATACACTTAAGTTAACTTACCCCTGGGCCATAATTCCCTGGTGATGACTGTGAATAATTAAGCTACAAATTGAAACAAAAAGCAGAATAAATATATAATAAATCACATTACTATTATGTAATTCTTTAAAGCAGATAAACCGGATACATCACCATGGAGACACTGATTACTTTCGCTATGCCAGTTTTCAGATTTGCATTTCGCCAATTACCGTTCGCAATACAATAAACCAAACAGATCAATTACAGATGAAATTTGTTGATGCTTCCCACTGGTTACACAAATGTGAATTTGATGTGTTGAAATAAAATCATTTGCCTGTTCATTCTTCATTTTACAATATAACATGACGACAGGAATGTTTTAGATACAGGTGTGAACAGACCAGAAGGTAAATCAATAAGAGAACATATTCAGACTTTGTCCAAATAGGCAATAACAAATATGGTGTTGTGGAATATAGTCTTGTTTGTAATCCTTTCCCAGACTCATGACTAGCACTAGGAGACTACATATTAAATAATCCAGTTTACTTACTGATGATGTGTTTGGTTGCCATGGCCTCCCTCCTCCCCCTGGCCTGAAAAATAAATGGTTTTGTTAGTACTTTCATGGGGATAGAGCAAAGGGCAAATGTGCTTATCAGTCTTCACACAAACATGCGCTTTCCGTATTTAGTCTTTTCTGTTAATAAAACTATGCGATATATACATTTATTGTCAGGTGTGCAGTCCCCTTCCTTTCCAAGTGAGAGTTGCTCACTGACAAAATTTCACTGAGGAGCTTTTAAAACAATTTTTTTTTTCATACATTTTTAATTTCACACATGTTCACTATGCAAAAATCATTGCCCTAATTTACCCTCAGTGGTTGTAGGGGAACTATTTGTCACAATCCAGCCAAACAAGGCTTGGGTGGGCAGAACCAAATTCATGCATGCTTTGTTTATATTGTACTTACATTGACATTGGCATTCCTGGTCCCATCGAACTGTTTGGTGGTGGCCTCATTCCTCCAGGGTAATTCTAAAACAGAAGCAAATACATTGATTTAGCTCTAAAAAACGTAGCAAGTAGATTGACTTAACTTTAGAACACAACTTTAATTTAAAGCACATTAACAATTGTAACAAGTCATTGAAAACACAGTCCCCGTTGAATTTTTGAAAGTTCTCTTTGTGCTCGTCATATTAAAGCAGAGGGGTTGTTGTGAGCGTGTCCTTGAAACTTGAGTCCAAAGTGGCGTATACAACAGATTGTTTATTTACATCAAACATGTGTTCCGTGTAGTAGTAATATGGCCAAAAATAAAAACAGCCGTTATTCGGCCATCTTTGATCTGATTATGAAACACACAGATACGTATGATGTATGTGCCAAATACGAATGAAAATGGTACATAAATTGTGGAATATAGTAGTAAGGCCAAAACATCAGATGGCTGTCAATCGGCCATCCTTGACCAGGATTTTGAAACAAATTGTCATAGACATGCATCCTAACATGTATACAGTACATGTATGTGCCAAATTCGAATGAAAACTGACAGAGCACGTCCAAGATACGGCATAAAAAAAACAAGATGCCTGTCAGTCGATGATCCAATTGCGAAATAAATCGTCATGGACATGTATCCTAACATGTATAATTTGTCAGTTGTTTGAATGACAACTGACAAAGCATGTCCAAAATACAACATTTTCAAAAAACAAGATGACTGCCAGTCGGCCATTTTGAATTGAATCGCTAAACCACTGCATGAGATATATGTCACACATAAAGTACTAGGCACATGCAAAGAATGAACAGAATCGGTCCAAGGGATTCTGAGATGCGACTCCGGACAAACACACAGACGGAGACCGAATTATAAGTCACTGTTTTCGGACTTCGTCCGAACGGGGACTAACAAGCAGCCTCTCAGCTAAGATAGCTCCGCTGTTAGTCATGCACATTTCAATTAAAGAACAGAAGGTATCATTACAAAATGAACAAATCTGAGAGAGGTCCACATGTAGTACCTATATATGTAATATCAAAGCAATTGGACTTGCGGTTTTTAACAAGAAGTCAAAAATATCACTTTTTACCAAAAATGACATAAATATTCATCAAAATTAGAGAACTAAAGATATCATTACAAAATGAACAAATCTGAGAGAGATCCACATGTAGTACCTATATATGTAACATCAAAGCAATTGGACTTGCGGTTTTTAACAAGAAGTCGAAAATATCACTTTTTACCAAAAATGACAAAAATATTCACCAAAATTAGAGAATTGAAGATATGATCATGAAATGAACAAATCTGAGAGAGGTCTACCCAAGGTACATATACACCAAGTATCAAAGCATTCAGGCTTGTAGTTTTCAAGAAGAAGTCGAAAAAGTAAAACATTGACACGGACAATGGCGGACAATCACTCATATGATAAGCTCCGTTCGACAAAGTCGTCAGTGGAGCTAAAAAGTAAAACATATTACCGGCTGCATTGGCATTCCTCGTGGGGGATTCATCCTCTGCATTGGACCACCCATATTCGGATGACCTGAAAATAACAAGAAATGTTTTACATGTTAATGTCTGCATAAACAGTGATGATAGCGCCCTCACAGTATCACACCACTTCTGTCATTACCCATAC